TTTCCCTCCCTTCCTGTCTTCCCTTTTTCCTTCACCCTTTCCTCTCTTCTCCTTTTTCTGTTCCCTTTTTTTTTTTTTTTTTTTTTTTGAGAGAGAGAGAGGGTCTTGCTTTGTCACCCAAGCTGGAATGCAGTGGAGCAATCTCAGCTTATAGCCTCAACATCTCTGCTCAAGTGATCCTCCCATCTCAGCCTCCCAAAAGCTAGGACCACAGGCACCACTATGCCTGGCTAATTTTTCTATTTTGTAGAGATGGGGTTTCACCATGTTGCCCAGGCTGGTCTTGAACTCCTCAGCTCAAGTGATCTACCCACTTTGGCCTCCCAGAGGCCTCTGTTCCTTTTTCCTTCCTTCTCTCTCTTTCCTTTAGGGAAAACCCTGGGTTCAACTTCCAGTCAAGAGGACTGGGTGTAATTAAAGGGTATTTCTAGGGGGTAATGGGCAGGTGAAAGAAGGAAAAAAATATGTTGATTATTTGCTGGGTGTGAGCAGCATGCTAAGAGCTTCTGCATCTCCTGTCTCATTTAATCCTATAAGCATCCATTAAAACCAGGTTTTATTATTACGCCTACTTAAAAATGAGGAAACTGAGGTTCAAACAGGTGCCTTGCCCAAAGTCACAGCATTTTTAGAAGACAAAGCCAGGATAAACCATAATCTGTTGACTTAAGTCTAATGCCAACTTGCATCACGGATTGCTATTTTTTCCCTACCTTACGCTATACTTTTCAGTATGGCAGAGAACATGTTTCATTTTGGGGGTGACATCCACCAAACCCTTCCTCGGTAAAATCTCGGTAATTCCACTTGACTTTCAAAGTCCTTTACAATGAGCCCTTCTTTTATTTCATCACTTTTATATCCCATCACTCCCTTTTTTGCATTCTCTCCTCTTCTCTGGCTGAAATTTCTATTATTGCTACTCATTACATTAATTTCTTTCTTTCTTTTTTTGTTTTTCTTTTTGAGACAAAGTTTTGTTTTTGTTGCCCAGGCTGGAGTGCAATGGCATGATCTTGGTTCACCACGACCTCCACCTCCTGGGTTCAAGCGATTCTCCTGCCTCAGCCTCCTGAGTAGCTGGAATTACAGGCATGCGCCACCACACCCAGCTAATTTTGTATTTTTAGTAGAGATGATGTTTCTCCATGTTGATCAGGCTGGTCTCGAACTCCTGATCTCAGGGGATCTGCCTGCCTCGGCCTCCCAAAGTGCTGGGATTACAGGCGTGAGCCACCATGCCCGGCCCATTACATTAATTTCTATTTCCACATCTTCTATTCTCTATTAATCAAGTTTTATATATCTTTCAATGCCCAGCTTAAGCATTTATCTCTCCTCATCCATTCTAGTCCTCAGGGAAGGCAATATTTGATCACTTCTCAGCCCTACTCAAAACCTTTCAGTGATAACCTTTTATATGCTGAACAAAACCAAGGCTTCTTAGCCTAGGATTCAAGTCAGTCATCCAGTTGCAAATAAGTACTGAGAGTCAATTATGTACTAAGCACTCTCTAGGTGCTGGGAGAGCTGTGGAGAGCCAGGCAGACTGGTTCCTGCCCTTATGGTGAATGCACTAGACATTAAATAATTACAAATAATCAATTACATAATTACTAGTATGAATCAAGTAATTACAGGGCCCTCTACAATCTGGTCTCAACCTATCTTTTCAGAGTTCTTTTTCATCCTTTTATTCCATCCAAATGGCCGCCCTTTCCATGCTTTCCTACCTCTGTGGCTGTGCCCATTCCCACCCACCTTTCCTGAACACACTCTTCCCTGCTCCACCTCGTGCCCCCCCAGGATCAGTTCTGGTTCTGCTTGTTCCATGCAGCCCTGCCAGACAAGTTTAGTCTGAAAGATCTACCCTCATTTGAATTCCTAGCACTTATCCATTCAACAAATATTAACTGAATGACTTGTTGAAATGTTTGATGAATGACTCTTTATGAGATTCTAAACACATGTTACGGTATTAAAGATTTAAGTTGTGCAGGGAATTAGAGTTTTCCTATTGAGAAGGATCAATGATTTTTCTCCTCTCTTCCCAGGGTGAGAGAAGGAATTCACGAAACTAAATAGTAGAACATACAAAATAATGGAGAAGCAAAATGACAATAAAGTTACCCAATTACTCATAATCCCACTACTTAGAGATCCACCACTGACATTTTTCTCTGTTTAGTACTTTTTTTCCTGTTTCTGTTGTGCTGTGTATCTACAGTCAGTTTGTAAAACTCTTTTTCCCCCCAAGCTAAAAAAACATTTTTTTTTGAGATAGGGTCTTGCTTTGTCACCCAGATTGGAGTATGGTGCATCGAACACTGTTCACTATAGCTTTGCCCTCCTAGGGTCAAGCAATCTTCCTTCCTCAGCCTCTTGAGTAGCTGGGACTACAGGCTTACGTCACCAAGACTGGTGAATTTAAAATTTTTTCATAGAGATGAGGGTCTTGCCATCTTGCTCAGGCTGGTCTCCTTCCTGGGCTCAGTGATCCTCCTGCCTCAGCCTCCCAAACTGCTGAGATTTCAGGCACGTGCCACCATACCCAGCCCCAAGTTAAAATTTTATCAAGACAATTTTTTTCTTATGGCCTTTAAAAAAAACACAAAATACCTCCACCCCACTTCCTTGCTCCCTTCTGCTTGAGGAATGGTTTTGTCTAAAACAAATCCTAGAGAATTTATTCAGACTCACCTATATCTTTTCCAGGTCATGAATCCTATATTTAATAAGAACCTGAGCATTGTTTTAGGGCCTTAAATAGAAATCGTTTCTCAGGACGTTACTCTGGACGCTTTTTAGAACAAACCTCATCTCTCTTGAAGACCTTAAATGTGTGCTCTGACTATACAGTGTAGTCATATTGATGAGCAAACCACAGAATGTCCAAACTATGAGGACATAGGATATCTTCCAGTTCACACCCCTCACTTTAAGAGAACAGAATTAGGGCACCTGCCTAAAGTCACGCAGCTGCCTAGTTACCTTTCCAAACTGCCCCACTGTCTTTAGTTTGTGAAATAATAAACCCCAAACTAAAATTCAACAAAAGCACTCACTCTTGCTAAATAAATCATGTCTATTCCTACCACTGAAGGAGAAAAGGTAACACAGTTTGGTAGACCTTTCAGCACTGGCTTATTTAGAAATTTCAGAGGGCTAGGTGAAGTGGTCCAGGCCTGCAATCCTAGCACTTTGGGAAGCCGAGGCGGGCGGATCACTTGAGCCCAGAGTTCAAGACAAGCCTGGGCAACAGTGAGACCCTGTCTCTACAAAAAAATAAACAAAATTAGCCAGGTGTGGTGGCACATGCCTGCATTCCCAGCTACAAGGGAGGGTGAGGTGGGAGGATCACCTGAGCCTGGGATGATGAGGCTGCAGTGAGCTGAGATTGTGCCACTGCACTCCGCAACAAAGTGAGACCCTATCTTAAAAAGAAAAAAGAAAGAAAGCAGTTATCAGAGAACCTTTCTTATTGGAAGTCAACGTTGGTATGATAGGATTAAAGCAAGAAGACACATTATGGACCTCCTATCTCTTTCTTAATGTTCAAAACACGGGGTATAGCAAAAGCACATAGGAAAAGGTCGTTCTCACTCATGAACTCATCATCGGCTTCTGCGCTTACTCTGCTTTGGTTCTTCTTAATCTGACCTCTATAGATTTCACCACGATGCAAGATGTAATTCCATCAGGTAAAAGAAGCCTAAGGAACCGGGTGTGGTGGCTCACGCTTGTAATCCTAGCACTTTGGGAGGCTGAGATGGGTGGATCACCTGAGGTCAGGAGTTCAAGACCAGCCTGGCCAACATGGTGAAACCCCATCTTTAAAAATAAATAAAAAAGAAGCTTAAGGATTTCCGAAAAGTTGGCTCCCTTCAGACAGACCAAGCCCAATTCATAGCAGCGTTCCCAGACTCAGTTTGAAACCCAGTAAGGTGGTCTCTTGCCTTTCTGAATTCTAAAAAGAGTGGCATTGGATCTCTTCCTATAGGAATCCAGGAGAGGGCGAGCTGTGGTGCCGTCTTCATAAAGGTAAGAACTTTCAGACTCATAAAAAAAAAAAGAAAAAAAAAAATGGGAAGAACTGTAGTGTTCAGAGTTCTAATGAACATCCCAATGGGCCTAAAAGGCTTCAATAGGAGATGAAAGGTTGCGGGTGAGAGTGGCCCTCTAGGTTGGACTAGGGCAGAGCCAGATCCATGAAAGGGGAGAATCCAACTGTAAAAGGGGTCTGGGGAAGAAAGAGCTCTGTTGGGTGTGCAGCCCAGCTCGCTTCCCCTGTGCCTACTTTCAGAAGCCCCTTTAGGATGGAGAATACCGGTGCTGCCCAGTGCAGCCCCTACCCATCCATCGCAAACAAAGGCAGCGGCCTCCCTTCCAGCCTTTTTAGTCTGAATGAAGGCTCAGTATTACCTTTTAGGGTCCACCCTTCCCTCCTCACGCACCCAGTGAGGCCGGAGCCTCTTCCTGTCGGGAGGTGCTGAATTCTCCCAGGAAACGGACAGGTGCCGCGGGCCAATGGTGGGAGCTGCGGCGGGCCAATCGGCAGGAGGAGTGGGTCGACCTGGGTTGGAGAATGAGAGAGCCTGCAAAGGGGGCGGGCACGGTGCGGCGGCGGCGCAGGGAGTGAGACGGACCTGCGAGGCTGCCCCAACCACTGCGGAGGAACCGGGGACGGGGCTGTCGCAGCCAATAGGAAGGCGGCGGGCGCGGGGCGGGGGCAGGCGCGGGGCGGGCCCCCCTCGGGTCCGCAGGGCTTGGGCGGAGCCAGCCCGCGTCAGGTGGTCCCGGCGAGCTGGCGGCGCGGGGGGCGGGGCGCGGCGCGGCGAGGAGAGGAGAGCGGCGGCCGGCGGGCGGCGGCGGGCACCGGCTGCGCTAGCAGGTACCGGCGGCGGAGGTGGCGAGGCCGCCCCCGGGGGGCGAGCGGGCAGGCGGGGACTCGGCCCGCCCCGCCCCTGGGCTGCGCGGGGCGCTCGCGCTAGGCGGTCTCCTCTAACCGCGGCCACAGCCCCGGCGAGCCGGCTGTCCCAGCCCCGCCAGCCCGGGCCCTACCTGCGGCCGCCGTCGGGGGGGTTCCTCCCAGCTCTGCGGAGGCGCATGAACAATAGGCGGCGGCGGCTCCTGCGGGCGGCGGCGGCCCCGCACCCTATGGATCGGCCGCTCCATGGAGCCCTCCAGAGCGCTTCTCGGCTGCCTGACGAGCGCCGCCGCTGCCGCCCCGCCGGGGGAGGATGGAGCCGGGGCCGGGGCCGAGGAGGAGGAAGAGGAGGAGGAGGAGGCGGCGGCGGCAGCGGCGGGCCCCGGGGAGATGCGCTGCGACGCGCCGCTGCCCTACTGGACGGCCGTGTTCGAGTACGAGGCGGCGGGCGAGGACGAGCTGACCCTGCGGCTGGGCGACGTGGTGGAGGTGCTGTCCAAGGACTCGCAGGTGTCCGGCGACGAGGGATGGTGGACCGGGCAGCTGAACCAGCGGGTGGGCATCTTCCCCAGCAACTACGTGACCCCGCGCAGCGCCTTCTCCAGCCGCTGCCAGCCCGGCGGCGAGGACCCCAGTTGCTACCCGCCCATTCAATGTAAGGCGAAGGCGGGGCCCGGGAGCCGGGCGGGGAGGGGGAATGACGGAGGCCTGGGGCGGGGTGGAGGGGCGCTGTCGGGGCAGGGGGGAGCCCTCCGCGAGGGCTAGAATGGGGGTGGGCGGAGGCACGGTTGACCCGGGTGTGGGTGGCGCACGCGCTTGGGCAGCCCAGGCTTCGCTTGGCGCACTCAAGACGCCGCAGGGCCTGTCCAGTCCTCAGGCACTTGGGCTTCTTCACCTTCATTTGGCACCGAAGCCGTGGCTCTCGATTTCCACTTTCTGAAGTCGCAGCCTGAGAATCTGTCTGTTCCCCAGTCCCTTCCTCTGTTACCTTCCCCTCTCCCCCCCATGCCCAATCTGGAAGTGTTTATGGCAAGCTAGTGTTTAGTGTCCTAGCCTTGGTCGCCAAATTTGGGACCTTGCCACCACCTCTTCTAATACCTGTCCCCGCCCCTTAAAGGCATGTGCTTTCAAAGAGATGGGGGTGTCTCCCGCAGGGCTGGGCCAGCTCACCAGTCCCGGAAGCCTGTGTGAACTCAAGGCTCAAGTGCCTGTAAAATGTCGGGTTGATTTCTTGGATCCTAATCCTTGTATCTCAGAAGTTATACGTTTAGGAGTCTTACTCATTTAATGTGCTGAGAGATGTGTGTGTCTGGAGTTGGGGTGGGACAAGTGATGATCAGAGAGGGAAAAGTATGTAGTTCCCCCATGGGAGATCAGGACTGCAAGGTACAGTGGCAGAATCCCAGTCCCTTGACAGTGAGGCTGTTCGGGAAATACATTTTCTCCTTTCTTCTCACCCTAGATCCTTGCCCATATTTGGAACTGGCCAAATCATAGGGGGACCATGCTCAGGGGTCTCTCCCAGGGCCTTTCTCCCAGTGTCCTGGTTTCCGTCAATTTTCCAGGAGCCCCGTGTTTCATACCCTGTAATGAAATCTGTGTTTTTACAAGGGAGTTAAATTGCCATTAGAATCCCTTACTCATACTAGGTTGTTTCAGAAAAAAAACATGTAAATATCTCTTTAGTGCAGTTTACACTACTTTGTATTTGAGAGTTTCCATAATCTCTTATCTGTTAAAAAGGTATTGTTAATATATATTAATTACTGTTTATTCCTTATTTTGTATACTTTCATCTTAATTGATTTTTTAAAATGTCATTAGCAAGGACCAACTTTAAATATTTAGTTTTAAAATTTCCTTTGTAACAATTACGTTTCTGGCCTTATTTTTTACCTCAGCAGTTGTGTTACTTTATCTTAAGATGTGTGTGTTTTTCTTTTTTTTGAGATGGAGTCTCACTCTGTCACCCAGGCTGGAGTGCAGTGGCGCAATCTCAACTCACTGCAACCCCTGGGTTCAAGCAATTCTCCTGCCTCAGCCTCCTGAGTAGCTGCGATTACAGGCGGCTGCCACCACGTCCAGCTAATTTTTGTATTTTTAGTAGAGATGGGGTTCACCATGTTGGCCAGGCTGGTCATGAACTCCTGACCTCAAGTGATCCACACGCCTCGGCCTCCTAAAATGTTGGATTACAGGCATGAGCCAAAGTGCCTGGCCTATCTTAAGATTTTTTTTTTTTTTTTAAACTAGCATGTAATATCAAAATCATAGCCTCTTCACTTGTTTTTCAGCTGTTCTTTTTCTGTTGGTGTTTTGACTATCAAATTGATGTTCAAATCTTAGGTTCCCCCTCTCCCTCTCATTCAGTTTAAAACTTCGTATTTCTTCATTTTGATCTTTAAAATGCCTAGAGGTAGCAAATTACTTTAAGTTGTTTCCAGGTACTACATCTTTTTGGCACTAGTTTGGTAGGCTGAAGGCTAAGCATCCTGGCATAATGTTTTGAAATAGTGTTGAAAATGAACTTGGTTATATATTGGAAGAAATATGAATAGCCTGGCATATTAGAAAACAGTGTCATTTTAAACATAAGTCAGATTTTGATTCTGTGGGTGAAGTTTTGTGATTTTGTTTTCTGGGACAGCTAATGTCAGAGTAGAAGAGCTAGGTGAGGTTCATGATCAGGAACTCAGTTTCTTTAATATCTTGTGCTCCGGGTGCCAGAGCAGTCAGTAGTGAGTATGACTTAGGCTGAAAAACTGTCCACAGAGCCACACATTCCAACAGTGTGATACTTCTTCATTAGGTGGCCAGGACTTATCTTCATTGTCATACAGGTTACCTTGGATAGAGTGGATTCCTAAATCGGGAACCCAAATGTTGAGAAAGTAGGAAATAACTTGTTCTAATGGTAAGAATTGACTTGAAGAATATGACATTTGAAAGACCTGGTACATTCTTTTATTTGGCCTCACTAGGAGTTCTGATTTTGACTGGAATTAATTTCTGATAATTCAGAAAATTTAATTTCAGTCAAAAACTAATTATTGAGTACCTAGTGAATGATAGATACCGTATACTATGTTAAACACCAGGACATAAAGAAGTGATAGTATGAGGAGGTGCTTATAAGATACGTGAGGGAGATGAATGATGTAAATATAAAACTTCAGTGTAGTGCCTTGGTGAAGATGCAGTGCCTTGGTTCATCAGAAGATGAACATGGGCTGTTACTGATTGGTGCATCTCTCTCATCTGTGTGCTCCAGCAGATCCGTTTGTGTCACTCAGAAAGCAAAGATGATTGACAAACCTTGTCTCCAAAGACTTGGGATGAAATTGAGCCACTGACACCTCATCCCCAGAGTTACCCTTTTGAACTTCCCCTCTGAGCATGTGTTGTGACATTACATTCTGGACCATGAGTAGAAGACATTAAGTCAAGTGATAGTGTTCAGCTTTAGTTTCATATTATTGCTTCTTAAAGTGAGAATTTACCTTCAAAATTCATTTAAAAAATTTTTTTTTTTTTTAAATTTTTAGAGACAGGGTCTCACTGCAGGCTGAAGTGCAGCTGCGTGATCATAGCTCACTGCAACCTCGAACTCCTGGGCTCAAGAGATCCTCCCACCTCAGCCTCCGAAAGAAGCTGAGACCAGAGGCCTACCCAATTATTTTTATTTATTTATTTTTTATAGAGATAAGGTCTTGCTTTGTTGCCCAGTCTGGTTTTGAACTCTTGGCTTCAGTCAGTCAGTCCTCCCGCCTCAGCCTCCCAAAGTATTGGGATTACAGGTGTAAGCCACTATGCCTGGCCTCAAACTATTCAAAACAGAAGAGGAAATTACCAAATATCATGACAAAGAAAAGATAGGAAAATGATATTATAAATCATTTTACATTCATATAGTGCTTTAATCTCCTTAATCTCCTCCATTGTAGGTACCTGTTAGAGTTTAACTGTCTATGAATTACAACTATAAATAACCCAGGAGCTCACCCATCTTCTTTATTATAGTGAAAGATGAAAAATGTATAGTTCCAAACTCATTATCTTGGGAGATACAATCTTAGGTATTATATGAAAGTTTCTCTTACAAGAGAGTTGTTTCTGTTTTCACACAGGGTATACATTAAGGATATTAGTTTTAAGTTTTTATTATCTACATCCACTAGAAATAGGAGGACATATTTTCAGATGTACTTAAGATTTTTGAGTGAAGTGTATGCCATTCACTTACTCAAAACCCACCAAAATGTGCCTAAACATTCAGTTTTGAAGCATATGATTGAGAGGGAATAACATCTTGACTTTAAAAATGGAAGGAATGGGTTGGGTGCGGTGGCTCACACTTGTAATCCCAGCACTTTGGGAGGCTGAGGTGGGCAGATGACGAGGTCAGGAGTTTGAGATCAGCCTGACTAACATGGTGAAATCCCGTCTCTACTAAAAGTACAAAAACTAGCTGGGCATGGTGGTGCATGCCTCTAATCCCAGCTATTCAGGGGGCTGAGGCAGGAGAATCACTTGAACCCAGGAGGTTGCAGTGAGCTGAGATTGTGCCACTGCACTCCAGCCTGGGCGACAGAAAGAGAATCTGTCTCAATTAAAAAAAAAAAAAAAAAAAAAAAAAAAAAAAAAAAAAAAGGAAGGAATAAGAATTTATTCCTGGAAATATCCTTCCACAGAAACTGAAAAATGTGCTGAATGCAGCTTGACCTGATTCTTACTTAAAACCAGGCCTTGACTCGAGCAGGGAAGGGAAGGAGAGCCCCACAGACTCTGCTGCAACTGAAGCTCTAGTTCCTTAGTTCCTTAGTTCCTATCCCAAGGGACTGAGCAGGGAAAGAAAAAAAAGATCCCTCCTCCCTCCCTTCTTCCTGGGTTCTGCCTTTTATCTGTTTGAAGGCTGTGTTCTATACTTTTCTTGGAGTCTGGTCATAACATTTTCTTAACTAAATAGCAAGAACCTGAGATTTTTAGTGTTCTACCCAAAGAGAGGTTATTGCTTTCCCTTCCCCGCAGAGGTTTTTAGAGGAGCTGTCCTTTCAGCACCCTAGTACCAAATCATATCCTTTAAATCGTCCTGCATTTATTTTTTCAATCCTTCCTGCATTTAAATAAATGTTTAACACCTACTGTGTGTTTACAACTATGCTTAAGACTGGAGGAAAAAAGGGAGGGTACAAGAGAAAGTACAATAGTATATTTCCCTTAAGGAGAATTCAGATACTCAGTCGAGGAAATAAGATAACAGATACAAATTTGTTAAAGAATCACACATCTTTTCATATGTGTAAAAGCTGCTAGAAAAACATGAATGTTCCTTCCCTCCATGACTAAGAAGACTCTTAACATGTATTTCTCCAAAAGGGTTTCTAATCTTTCTTTATAACATAGGCATATTTTTCTCATTCATGTAGACGACATCAGGCACAAAATAGTAATCAGTCAGGATTCATTTTGGGGCTCAGAAATGCTCAAGCTATTTTAAGCAAGAAAGAGATTTAGCATAGGAAATTCAGTGCTTGCAGAATTGTTGTAAGGGCTGGGAGACGAGGCTCTCAGCCGGACCTATGTGAACAACTCCCAGAGCATAGCAGAGCTGGCCCACTTGCTCAGCTGCTATTCGCTAATTGGGAAGATACAGAATCAGGAGCTGCCATTGAAGCTGTTGGCTTCAAAAACACCCTGGTGTATCTGCAGCCCAGAGATTAGGCAACCATTTGGCTATGAAACATTCCTCTCCATGTCTACAGACTTAGTGATTGGACACCAACACGCTGTGGCAGAAAATCCCCCCTTCTCTACAGCTGCGCTAGCAGGGAGAAGCAGCAAGAAGATGGTCTTCATCTCACTTCTGCCTTTCAAATCTTGTGCATCTAATTAGGAGAACTTAATTTGCATTTAGAACTTTAGCTGTAAAGGAGCCTGGGAAATGTGGTTTTTAGCTTCCTAGCCTCTGTAGTACTGAAATTTATGCTAGAAGGATTTTGGAATGGATGCTGATTGCTAGTCTACAATATTCTGCAATGACATTCATTCTTCAGGAAGACTGCTGGGTAAGGTGATAACCTTTTGAACAGTTGGAATTTTGGGGTCAGGATGGGCTATATTTTTTGAATATCTAGAGACTGTACACTTACCTTATCCTCCTAAGAGTTTTCTTTGTGCAGACTGCCAGTTGTGTTACAAAATACAAGTGAATATTAGCCCCAGATGGGATAGAGGTATTATAATTAAACAAGAACAGATTTTTTTTTTTAGCACCACCAGCGTCTGAGTGGAGAATGGAGGCGTCATGGGGCTGGCTGAGTAAGGAAGGGAATAGTCAGCAGCGGGCAGTTCCTCTTTTGGTCTTGCCAAAAGTTCAGAAATATATCTGTGTTTTCTTAGTTTTTTAGTAAAGTGTGATTATTCTCTGTATTTGTTTCAGAAGGTCCAGTTCCAGTTCAGTTTTTTTTTCTAGATCTGAATTGGGTTTATTTCCTACTGAGGTAGTGTGTTAGTCCATTCTTGCATTGCTGTAAAGGAATACCTGAGGCTGAGTAATTTATAAAGAAAAATAGTTTACTTGGGCTCGTGGTTCTGCAGGCTGTACAGGAAGTTTGATGCCAGTATCTGCTTGGCTCTGGTGAGGCCTCAGGGAGCTTTTATTCATGGTGAAAGGTGAAGTTGGAGCAGGCATGTCACATGGTGGGAGCCAGGAGCAAGAGAAAAAAAGCGGGGAGGTGCCATACTCTTAAAAAACCAGATCTTGTATGAATTTGAGCAAGAACTCACTCATTACTGTGAGGAGGGTGCCAAGCCATTCATGGGGGATCAGCCCTCATGACCCAAACACCTCCCACCAGGCCCTACCTCCAGCACTGGGGATTACATTTCAACATAAGAATCAGAGGGGGCAAATATATCAGGTAGTATTTTTTCCATTTTATTTCAACGATCTGGTGGTCACCTACAAAATTTTTGGCATGGCAAGTGCAGTGGTAAATGAGGCAGACAGAATCTCTGCCCTTGTAGGTCTCACAGTCTGGCCTGGACAACAGGCATTGAACAAGTAATTAAGTAATTGTAACCTTGATGACTCTTGTGGAATGGAAACTGCCATGGAAGTGTTTGATAGGGGCCTGACCTCGTTTGGTCTGAGGGATGGAGAAGTTCCACTGTGAAACTGATATTTAAGACCTGAATGAATGAATGAATGAATGAATGAATCAGTCAGGTAAAGACAAAAAAGAATATAAGATAGAGAACAGGTTTTATGTGAGAAACAAAACACACTTTGCTCACATAGCACTTAATACCACATGTAGCTTGATTTATAATCACTGGCAGCTATTATTATCTACCCATTAAAACCTTTCCACACAGAAAGAAATATACAGTCAAATACCTTAGGTCCAAACTCTGTGTTTGGGAAGGAGAATGATTGTGGGTGGGATACAGAGACCATCAGGGCTTGAACTGAGGCACAGATGACTGCTGGGTTAAGATCTCTCTAATGAGGCTCCTTTCCCATGTGTTTCAGTCACCAGGTCCTGGTAGAACCAAGTTCTGAAAGTCTCCCAAATTGACTGCGTACCCCCCATATTCATTGCTGCTGAGGTTTAGACCCTGAACTGCAAGGCCTCCTTAAAGGGTCCTTTTGCTGTTGGGTCTCTGTCTTCCAGGTTAGTTTCCAGCAACTGCCAGAGTTGGTTTCCTTTCTAAACTACAGGTCTAACAACATTCTTTCCTGAAAGATACATGACTCCTCTTGTTTACAATGTGAACTTCAAGCCCCTCAGAATGGCTTTAAAGACATTTTCTGGCCTGGTTACCCTCAACAAGGTTTTGAGCCTCGTCTCCAATCCTGATGCACATGACCCGGCCCCAGCAGACTCCCTGGAGTTCCTAATAATATACCATGTATTCCCTGTTCCATGTTCTTGGCTTCCGTCCTTCCCTCTGCCTGATTGTCCGTTCCTACCCTGATTTCCTTCATTGCCTGAGATCTCTCCTGCTCATTCTTTAGGGCCCATTTCAATGTTACCTTCCCTGAGAATCCTTTCCCCACTCACCCTCTCAGTGCTCTGTGCTGCTGTGGGAGTTAGTGATTTTCCTAAGCCTCTAATCATACTTCTGCAGAAACTCTTCTCATCCTATGGTTTGGTTGTTAGGTGTCTGCCTTGGTACTGAGTTGGGTGCTTCTCACTACTGAGCACACTGTAAAGCTGAATAAGTCTCAAAGAAAGGATCTCGGCCAGGTGCAACAGCTCACTCCTGTAATCCCAGCACTTTGGTAGGCTGAGACAGGAGGATTGCTGAGCTCAGGAGTTCAAGACCAGCCTGGGCAACATGGCAAACCCCATCTCTATATTTAAATGTATTTTTAAAAAACTAAGAAAAAAAGGATCTCCCCCATGTTCCCTTTAGTTATAATAGTTGGTTTTGGTACAGGATTCTGCATAATTTTCTAGGCGGGATTTTTTTTCATGAATATTTATAGAACGCCTACTGTGTGATGACTGTCACTAAGGAAAATGCAAAGGAAAATAAGTTAATTGCAGTTCCTGCCCCTATGGAATTTACTTTATAATGGGGAGACAGAAAGGCCCAGTAAATAGACAGCCTGCCCTGTTTACCCATCCAGGTAAATGAATGGTTAAATATGGTGTTTTCAGGATGTTTTTGACTTGCTTCTTTTTTCCTTCCCTTTCTCAGTGTTAGAGATTGATTTTGCGGAGCTAACCTTGGAAGAGATTATTGGCATCGGGGGCTTTGGGAAGGTCTATCGTGCTTTCTGGATAGGGGATGAGGTTGCTGTGAAAGCAGCTCGCCACGACCCTGATGAGGACATCAGCCAGACCATAGAGAATGTTCGCCAAGAGGCCAAGCTTTTCGCCATGCTGAAGCACCCCAACATCATTGCCCTAAGAGGGGTATGTCTGAAGGAACCCAACCTCTGCTTGGTTATGGAGTTTGCTCGTGGAGGACCTTTGAATAGAGTGTTATCTGGGAAAAGGATTCCCCCAGACATCCTGGTGAACTGGGCTGTGCAGATTGCCAGAGGGATGAACTACTTACATGATGAGGCAATTGTTCCTATCATCCACCGCGACCTTAAGTCCAGCAACAGTGAGTATGAAGAGATGGGGCTGGAGGGGCTCAGAGCAGTTGCAGATGCATTCCATGATGTCAGTAGGAGTGGGTTCCTGGCCGGGTGCAGTGGCTCATGCCTGTAATCCCAGCACTTTGGGAGGCCGAGGTGGGCAGATCACCTGAAGTCAGGAGTTTGAAACCAGCCTGACCAACATGGAGAAACCCTGTCTCTAGTAAAAAATACAAAATTAGCCGGGCTTGGTGGCAGATGCCTGTAATCCCAGCTACTCAGGAGGCTAAGACAGGAGAATCACTTGAACCCAGGAGGCGGAGGTTGCGGTGAGCTGAGATTGTGCCGTTGCACTCCAGCCTGGGCAACAAGAGCGAAACTCTGTCTCAAAAAAAAAAAAAAAAAGTGTGGATTCCTAATGGAACCTTAATGGGCAATGAAACTCCTTGCTTAAACACATTCCATCCTTGAATTGAGATGTAGGGGGTGAGATGAGTGCCAAGAAAGATTGGTTTAGGAAGAGAGGAATGAGGCGCCTGAGGAGTTGGGGATAATTTTGAGGTTTTTTTAGCAGTCAAGAATGGCCTTGCCTGCTCTTCTTCCACATATCAGAATGTGTAATTCTGATAGGCTGTGCAAAAAACATATAGATTTATTTTTTCACTTGTGGGAAGTGTGAATGTCATCACAAAAGGGGTTTTCCTCTTTGTAGAACAAGAGGTAGAGCAAACCTTTATTATCTGTTTGAATGTTTACCTAAACACCTCAACTTGAGGTACCCATCAGAGAAGGGACTATAAGAAGAGAATCATATTGTTTAAACTGTGAGCTGATTGAGGTGGTAATGTCCATTTTGAGAGCATGACTTGCTAGTAATGTTACTGACCTCCTGTAGCCCAAGGGTGGTATTAATTAAATGTCATAATTACCTAGTGTTTAATAGCAGGGAACTGAGAAGCAACTGTTTATTAAACACCCAGAATCCATAAACTGGATTTTAAGCAAGTGTTAAATATTAAATGGTGAGTTGGTAGAAGCTCCAGTCCTTCATGGCGGCTGAATCAGCAGGGCTAGGAATACGCTTCTTTTTTGTGGTAGTTTGTGCTCTCCCTTGCCTAAACTGGGTGGTAAAGAGGACACAGTTGCATAATGGTATGTACTTAAAATCACTTGGAGCATCCTGTCCCAGAGAGGAGAGCATCTGAGTTGAAGGACTTTGGTGAGGGGGTAGCACGGGCGCCCAGGGAGTTCACTCTCTCCGCATCCTTCAGCTTTGAGCCTGGAAACCCTTCAGACTTTGTTTTGTTCCAAGCTGTTCCAGATGTGGTTATTTTTCTGTTGATGCTATTGTAAATCTGTTTACTTTTAAAACTACATTTTAAAATTATGTAAGTAGTGGTAGGGCACAGTGGCTCACGCCTGTAATGCCAGCACTTTGGGAAGCTGAGGCAAGAGGATTGCTTGAGCCCAGAAGTCTGAGACAGCCTGGGCGACAAAGGGGGAGCTCATCTCTTAAAAAAAAATTATGTAAGTAGTAAGTGTTTCTTGTAGAAAATTAGAAAGTGCAGATAAAAAGAAGAGGAAGTTAACCTATAATGTTTTCCTTTAGAGAGAACAACTATTACATTTGGCATATCCTTCCTGACATTTTTAAGCATATCTGGGTTATACATATACAAATGTACACTTATCTTTTCTACCCGTGTTCTTTTCCCCCTTAATAATAGAAAAATTCCTTCTTGTATGAGTATGAAACATTAGGTATGTATTTTAGATGTGATGCATGTGAAGTATTTAAGTTACATTAAAAATCTGGTTTCTCTTTTTCTCTTTGCCGTTTACCTGTCTCTTTATCATATGATTATTTTCATCTTCCCTCCCAAATTCTGTTCTTTAAATAAATTAAAGCTTTTGGTGACCTCTTTTCAGAGTAATTTCTACCTAGGGATTGCTTTAAGTGATGGGATAAGAAAAAGCAGATGTATTGCTGGAAAATGTAATGGAGAACCTGAATTTCCTTTATTTTACTTTTTCTAATATCTTTATCATGTTGAGAGAACTAGGCAAAGTACTGTAATATTACATAATTGAGCCCATTTAGAAAGTCGGGCTAGGATAACAGAGTTGTAAAAATTAATAGTTTGCTTGATGAAGTTTTGAATTTTAGTATAATTTTAAGCTATACCTACACATTTTTACCTCTTAGGAGATTTGTATTTGGGAATGCAGGCTCTTATGAAGGACAAGTTACCTTGTCAAGGTTCTGCTGCTTGTAGGAGAGGGCAAGAGACAAAACTGTTATTCAGGAGACAAAACTCTAGTCTATTCTTTGTCCTTATGTGGGTTTTAGCATTGTCAAGGGGGAGCCATCAGGATTGCAGGAGTTGTATAATACATATTCGGCAGTATTTTAAAGGACCTTCTCAATACAGTTGATGCCCAGTAATGTTTATGGTCCACTGGACTGCATGGTTGGTGCTGATGTTGATGCTAATTGTTAAATCTTACATGTATGTTGGGGTAGCACTTTGACATTTTTCTGTGGGTGGACGTTTGCCAAGGATTGTATGTATCTAATATGAGCCTTGATGATACCACCGTTTTTTGTTTGTTTGTTTTTGAGATGGAGTCTCACTCTGTTGCCCAGGCTGGAGTACAGTGGCGCGACCTTGGCTCACTGCAACCACTGCCTTCAGGGTTCAAGCAATTCTCCTGCCTCAGCTTCTGGAGTAGCTGGGACTACAGGCATGTGCCACCATGCCCAGCTAATTTTTGTACTTTTGGTAGAGACGGGGTTTCACCATGTTGGCCAGGATGGTCTCAATCTCTTGACCTCATGATCTGCCTGCCTCAGCCTCCCAAAGTACTCAGATTACAGGTGTGAGCCACCGTGCCTGGCCACCACCGTTCTTATTCCATTGTAATGTGTACATGCCTTGAAAATGATTGTCTTTAATTTTAATTTAATTCATTTATTTCTTTAGAGACAAGGTCTGACTCTGTCACACAGGCTGGAGTGCAGTGGCATGATCAGAGCTCACTGCAGCCTTGGCCCTTGGGCTCAAGTGATCTTCACACCTCAGCCTCCTGAGTAGTTGGGTTACAGGTGTGTGCCACCATGCCCTACTAATTTTTTTTTTTTTTTTGAGATGGAGTCTCGCTCTGTCCCCCAGGCTGGAGTGCAATGGCGTGATCTTGGCTGACTACAACCTCCGCCTCCCAGGTTCAAGTGTTCCTCCTGCCTCAGCCTCCCAGGTAGCTGGAATTACAGGAGCCAGCCACCGGACCTGGCTAATTTTTGTATTTTTAGTAGAGACAAGTTTTTGCCATGTTGGCTAGGCTGGTCTCGAACTCCTGACCTCAGGTGATCTGCCCGCCTCGGCCTCCCAAAGTGCTGGGATTACAGGCATGAGCTACCATGCCCCACCCTTTTTTTTTTTTTTTTTTTAATAGAGATGAGGGGGTCTCGCTTTGTGGCCCAGGCTGAAAATTATCTTAGAGGTGTTATGCCACTTCCTTGCCCATTGTCTCCAGCTTGGGAGCCATGACTTCTTTGTATTTCATAGATGGGAGCACTGGCTTGTTTTCCTTGCTTTGTTAAGGGTTCCAGAGAATTGGATTTTGGTCATTGTCATGCGAGGGCAGAATATACTAGCAATTATATGTGTTAGTTGATTTTGACAATTAGAGAAAAGAGTGTGTATGCATGGGAGCTGTCTTTGTGGGAAAGAAAAAGCAGTCGATGATAAACTCCTAGCTGTTAGAAAGGAAAGTGACTTATTAAAATGTTTTTTTTTATCCTGATCACCTACTTTAAAAAGTCATTTGCAGTTTACTGGCAGTGGAAGGAGTATAGCATATAGTAGCCTATGCTGATAGAGAATCTACATTGAGTTTACGTTGATTGTACGTAACCTGAAAAGCCAAACAGAATAACAGTGGCTAAACCAGGTCTACATTTACTTGTCTTTGAAAAGAAGTCTGGAGGATTCTAGGGCAGCTCCATATTGGCGTCTGGGACCCAGCCTCCTATTTTTTACTCCCTCATCCCAGTACATGGCTTCCATCCTCATTGTCACCCTGTGGTCCAGATGGCTGCTGGAGTGCCAGTTAAGAGGTCCAAGTCACGGGCCTGAAGGAGGAGAGGAAGCAGAAGCACAGAAAAGGTGTCCCCTGTGGCCGAGTTGGCTCCCATAATTTCCCAGAAGTCCAACATGGTGTATGTGCTTGCATTAATTGGCCAGAGTCTGGTCGCTTGGCTATCGCTAGCTGCAGAGTGGACAGGAAGATGGAGGCTTTTATGCTGGGTGTCAGTGAGCCCAGCTGAGAATCAAGGTCTGTTACCAAGGAAGAGCATTGCTGCTAAGGAATTGGCAGCTAGCAGTCTTACCATGGAATCTTAATGCTGGACATGTATCGGTATGAACTATTACCTCAGATGTTTAGCATCACACAGCCAAACAAGTTTAGCCAGGCCTGGGACACGTGGCTCAGGCCCCTGGCTTAACTACTGGTTTATACTGCTTTACCACATCACATCATCAACTTAAGCATCACACCCTAATTCTACTTGCAAAAAGCCTCTGGCTATAAAAATGGATTTATGTCTCTGCTCCATCAAATTGGGGAAAACCAGTTACATGATTGTCAGCAAACGCATTGAAAGATGGTCTTAAATGGAAGGGTTGCCCTTTTGGGGGCAGGTAGATGAACTTCAGGATTTTGTGTAGTAGGGTGGCTTGGCGTATAACGGCATTTGGCAGAAGAGCAGTGTAATAGTGTCCATTAAAAGTTAAATAAGTGGCTGGCCGCGGTAGCTCATCCCTATAATCCCAGCACTTTGGGAGGTTGAGGCCTGCAGATCACGCGAGATCAGGAGTTCAAGACCAGCCTGGCCAATATGGTGAAACCCTATCTCTACTAAAATACAAAAATTAGTGGGGTGTGGTGGCAGGCGCCTGTAATCCCAGATACTTTGGGAGGCTGAGGCAAGAGAATCACTTGAACCCAGGAGGCAGAGGTTGCA